AACTGAGCCTTTTTTGTTATTGGCCCAAGGTTTTCTGCCAGACTCACTTCCCTTATAATGAATGAATTCTCCTTGAGAAAAGTTTTCAGTTCTCCCCCTGGAAGCCGTCCAGAGGTGCCCTAACCCACCAGGCGTGCCAGGGCATGCTAGTTCCCAGGGTGAACATCAAAGCTCATGGTGGAATCCTGTTGTACCCCTGGATCGGTGGCAGACCTCCTTCAGAGAATGGGCTCAGGCAGCTCTACTTGATAGCGTGTGAAGAGAATATGTATGCAGGCTGGGTCTGCTAAAACCCAGGCCAGTGAAGATGCGGAGACTGCAAAACAACCTCCATCACCCAACATCCACCCAGTGTTTGACCCTACAAGGCCATTTCTGCCCCTCATTAAATATTTAATCTTCAACGGAAGTGTATACTGAAATGTGATTCCTCAAACTGGAGACTGCACCAAAATCACCAGAGGGTATCTGACTCAACAGGCCTGGGTGGGGTCTGAGAACTCGCTTGTCTAACAAGTTCCCAGGTGATGCAGAGTCTGCAGACCGAAACACTTGCAGAAGCATGGCCCTAGACAGCTCACTCTACACCGGGCCCCAGTGACTCACTGGTAAGCACACACTTCTGGCTTCCCAGCATCCAGGCCTCTTCTCCCACATGGGCAGAATCCTGCTGCAAAAGTTCCCCCACGCCCTAGGCCAGCGGTGGGGGGTCAAGGTGAGCACACACTTGTTTCTGATCTGGGAGATGTAAGGGGAAGTCTGCTGAGGTGTGCTTCTGAGAAAAGAGGTGCCACATGAGAGTTCTTTAAACTTGCCTTTCTAGATGAGGCCTGCAGCTCTCCTTCCATGTCAGGGAGCTGAGCACAGCAAAACAAACAGGTAGAAAGCAACCTGCTGAGCAAACTAACCCAGAACCACCCTGCCCCCTGGCTTCTTGTTAGGTGACATCATGCGTTCTTTATTGTTAGAGCTGGTTGAGTCAGGGTTTTCTGTTACTTGCTGCTGAAAATAATCACAAAGCGAGGCAAACTAACAGGACAGATTGCAAGGACTAAACGCACCCTCTCCACACATTACGGTGGTGCATGTTCCACAAGGTACTATTAACTTAAAAAGTCAGAGTTAAATTTTCCAGATTGTTCCAAAGCTCATGGATGAATAACACTTAGAACAGTGTAAAACTAATAAAGTGACTTAGCACCCAGCAAAATGCTGCTGAAGATCCACCTCTGGATCAGTCCTACAAGAGCCATGCTCATTCTGTCCAGGGCTGTAATAGGAATCATATGATACTTGGGCTTAATAAAGAACCCTGTTGCTTCCATACATCAGTCTCAGACTTGGTCTCTCTCTATAGGAGCAGACTGTCAGTATGTCCAGTTGGGAAAATGGGTTTTCCAACCTACTTCCTGGTACATACAACACCAAGGTAGACAAGTGCACATAGGGAGGACACCTAGGGTCGTGCACCTGTTCTGCCACTATAATGTAAGTTATTTTACCTTTTGAACTTATATCCTCATCTATATAATGGGAATGCTGCTGAACATCCACCTAGCTATTCAAGAACAATGCACATGAAAATACTTTGTAAGCCACCAGGGCAATTACTTAAATCCATTTTCAAGGAATTAAGTGGATTTAACACGGCCTGAATTGAAAAGATTAATCATGATCCCAAAAGAATTGCTTCACTAAAAGCCCATACTACATACATGTGTCTTATCAACTAGGAGACTGTTTAGACGATAGTTCAAACTGAACTTCACCTATTGTAAATAAGTTAGTGGCAGCCAAAGGAACCAACACCCACAAAGTAGTACAACCTTAGAAGTCAATGTCATACAAAGTATGGCATCACATGAGTTATTTTACTATATACATTTTCACCATGGTCCACCTGGGAGACCACACACAATGGCAGTGCTCCCCTGAAGCTGCTCTTGGAAAATACCTTCAAATGTGGCAGTGGGTATCTTTGTAAGCTCACAGGGGTAAAGCATCTTTCCTACAGAAGTTTAGTTTAGCCCATCAGCCATGTGGCATTCAGAGCCATGTTTTCTGAATGAAGCACAAGTTGAGTAAAAACAATAGGGTTCAGAGGGAGGGAAAAGCAGGTGTGGCCCTAATCCTGTTTCTCAAACTGAGATAGGTTTATGTATTAGAGAAGGTAATGTAAAGGATGAGACAGACTGGCAAAGTGGCTCAAGAAAGAGAGTGCCTGCCTTGTAAGCATGAAGCCCTGGGTTCAAATCCCAGTACCAAAAAAAAAAAAAAAAGAATGAGATGAGACTGTCTTCTGAATAATAAGAAACAACCAGTAGGCAATTTTTAAATTATTAAAAAAAATCTCAATTTTTGTTTTTAATTTCAGAGAGTTGTCAACCTTATTGTCAGCTTTTAAAAACTATATCCCCACTACTTTGGAAAAACAAAATAGTTGTAGTAAGCAAATACAACTTTTCTGGCATCATTTATAAACTGGCTGCAATGGCAGACCTAAAACAATGGTAATAAAAACATTAATTGAGCACCACAGCAGCTGTGAGATACTGTCTACACTACCACAACAATTATGTGTAAAGGGACAACATTCTTTTCTTACACTGAGGGAGGTCACTAATACTCTAGAGTCGTATTTCACATGCGGAAGACTCTAATAAATTTGATGACAACTCATTTAAAACGAGTAACAAGCTCCCAAAAGACCCCATTATCTTAACATTGGTGTTCCTAGACAGAGAACACAGCCTTGGGAAATCAGATTTGTCCTTTGAATGTTGAAAGCCCAATGTGCCACCACCTGAAGGACTAAGGCCTGGCATCACAGCGTGTCTAGAACACCTTTGCAGCACTCATCAACAAGGTCGCTGCTATGTCAGAGCACATGTAAGAAGCACCTTCATTTCTCATGGACCCAGGGTGACACGTGAAGAGCAAGAAAGCACACCACCAATTGCATAAAAGCAGCCTTTTGCAGCACACCACCAATTCCATCAGCTCACCCCACCTAGCTAACCTTTCCTGAAGAAATATGTTGGGTTCCCAATAGCAAAACAGTTTTTTTCTTACTCAGGGGCCCTTTCACTCTTGTCCAACACCCGCTCTCGCTCTCAGGAGCCTTTCACATGCACAAGGTGACTTCCAAGGGCCTGGCTTCCTGGGTTGCTGAATCTGCTTAGCTCTTTCTTCCAAATGCATATCTGAATAACACGTCTGTGAAGTTATTTTACAGCTAAATAGTGGGATATGTAGAAATAAATCATGAGTCCAGCTACTGAGTGGTATATAGAATGAGAGTATGACTGTCAGTCTTAGGATAAACCACTTCTCCAAAAGGCAATCTTCAGTCTGAAATCAGAATACCGTGGTTCTGGCTAGAACTAGATTCACCACATTTACATACAAAACCCAACCTCTCACACTGCAATTCCACTTTTTGTTGCAGGAGTGCAGGCACTAATGAAGGTTCTTGCCTATTTTTATTCTAGAAAACACTTCAAAATTCTTAAAGGATTAAAAATTGTTTGATATGGAATTATTGAAGCTTCAAATATCTTTTCCAATACAAAAGACACAAATGAACACACAGCAAACCACTAAGAGTCTGTAAAAAGGTATTTCTAGAGCAGCTAAAATTTTCAAATGAAGGAGTTCCGACCCTACTATACTACTCTTCTAATTTATTTCACTTGAAAAAAATATCCTAAGCTTTCCTAAAAGTCTCACAAAATTTTTTTTCAGAATTTACAAAGGTTTTTTTGTGGCTAGCAAACAATTTTAATACATGCCATGAACCCTGTCTGAAAGCCTGCACTACATTAAGAAAAAAGTCTGAATTATGAACTCAATTACAACCAAAGAAAATTTTGTTTATACTTTTGTAGCCATGAAGACTGTGTCTGAATGTGTTCATTGTGGTGCACACACACAAACCTGTAAAAGGTACCACGAGGCTACATATAGATAGAGCTAATGCCCACTCTCTTCAAAAAACAAACAGGCAGAGTGGCTCAAGTGGCAGAGTGCCTACCTAGTAAGTGTGAGGCTCTGAGTTCAAGCCCCAGTGCTGCCAAAAAAAAAAAAAGTATCAAAAAACAAACAAACAAAAAACAATTGCAGTAGTTCAATTAAAAACCACAATACCAATACTATGGTTTCAATGGCAAATATAGTTTTCAGGCTTGATTATAGAGAACACGGGAAACACAGTAATTTATTGAAGAGACTAAAATTTAAAAGCATGATCTTACATTCCTGCATATAACAGCTCTTCCACCTTGCACTATTACTAGATCTGAGAAATCAGTTAAAGGGTACTTTGGACCCTGGACATCTGAGAAGGCAGTTTCCAAACAGGAGCAGATGCCCTGGGCTAAGACAGGTGCCAGGTCTATGCGCAGAGAGGTAGTCACAACAGACACCAAAGTCCAGAGGGAGAAGAGAGGAAAGGAGGAGGGGAAGGAAGGAAGGAAGGGCAACAGAGCAGGTGAGATCACCTAATGGATAAGAAGGGAGTTCCTAGGGAACTAAAGAGACCTGGTCAGGTAAAAAGTTTAAGATATTATCAGCAGGTAAGGAAGCTCAACTTTCTGAAGGACAACAGCAAACAGTGAAAAGCAGCTCCTTCCCTGTGTGGCTCTGAGCTCTTTCTGTTCCAAAGAAAGCTTCCCTCAATACCAAGTCCCTCTGTCCACAATTGTATCCACAACTGTGCTGTTGAAAGGTCACCAAGCATCTTCTGGTGTCCTGATGTTCAGAATCTGTCTTTAACTAACTTTAAACTATTTTCGGAGAACATATTTTGCTGTTGTTCCTAATCAAATAACAGTACACTTAGAAGCTGGGCGCTAGTAGCTAATTCTAGCTACTTGGGAAGCTGAGAATGAGAGGAATGGGGTTCAAGGCCAGCCTGGGCAAATAGTTCTGGAGGACCCTCCCCCATCTCTAAAATAATCAGAACAAAAATGGACTGGAGGTGTGACTCTAGCAAAAGAGCACCTGCTTTGCAAACATGAATCCCTGAGTTCAAACCCCATAAAAAGGAAAAATATATGTTTGGTGGTGAGGGGAGGGGTCACTAGTAGTAAAGCACTTGCCTAGTATGCATAAGGCCCGGGTTCTAGTCCTAGCCAGCAAATGGCAAAAACAGCAAGACCACCAAGGAACCTTCTACAGACACTAACTTGTGGTTTTTATAACCATTTTAAAATCTGAAATAATATTATATTCATACTCTGCCAATGCTTAACTTTTCACATTCTAACAATTACTATCCCCTCCAAAAAGGCTTGTCAGAGATGTGTTCAGAGAGCCAGACAAGCTTCCCAGAGTGCATCGGTCCTCGTAAGAGTTGAAGTCAGCTCTCAGCACTGAGTCCCCAACAGTAATCTTTCTCTTTCAGCAGTGTAGATTACTGCTGATATCTGAGAACACCCAGGAGAAAGGGGGGATGGAGAGGAAAGAGGAAAGAAAGTTTTCAAATAATGCTTTCCTGGCTTACAACCAAATACAATTACAGAGCATCTGCAGATGAAGTCAAGATAATATAAACAATATCTTCAATGAGGCCAATTACCCAAAAAGCTTCCCCAACTGTGTCTGAGGTAACAGGCAAGCCACTCTAGGGGCCTCCACCCAGATCAGCAGTGGTCTGGGTCCGCCCCACCTCAGGCAGTCAGTCCTGGGGGTGAAACACCGACACTCCTTCACCATCTAGATTCTCGCTAGTGATAGGCGGCAGTGCCACCTGTGCTTTTGGGGGAACACATGGAGACTATTTCATAGTCCAATTTATCTCCCTTGTTCCAAGTTAGCAATGGCTTCTCCATGAGTTCGTGACGAGGTATTTGTTTTGTTCAACTGATAGATGGCGGCTCCATTGACTTCAAGAGCACCTATCATTAAAGTTGGCATTGTGGGGTAGTTCTTAGAATTAAAATCACAAAAAGCTTTTTAAGTAGGTTTAAGGAGATATTAATATGTTCATAAATAAGCTGGTCACTGGTGGCTCATGCCTGTAATCCTAGCTACTCAGGAGGCAAAGATCAGGAGGATTGCTGGCCAGCTTGGGCAAACAGTTCAAGAGACCCTATCTTGAAAAATACCCAACACAAAAAAGGGCTGGTGGAGTGGCTCAAGGTATAGGCCCCAAGTTCAAGCCCCGGTACCGGGAAAAAAAAGGTCATAAATAAGATTAAGGATAGACATAGCAGGACAAACTAAGTACAGGATTATAACTCAAAGTATGAATATTCACCGGCCCAAACTAATACAAATAAATGACTGAATGAATAAGTAAGAACAGACAAATCTCCCACACCAGAAAAATTTCAAACAATCTGTGTTGCTGCAGCTTAATTCACTTAATGATTTAATTTCAAAGAGTGCAGTATGAAAGAGGTAGAAAGTAAAGAAATCTTACCATGGAGAAACCTGACAGATAGTACCTTGCCCGCTGATTGAGGCCAATATCCAAGTGAGAAGTCACGCTGCAGAACATACCATTCATATGACAGATGACAATGGTAACGTGCCTACATGGTCTTCCTCCCCAAAGCCATCCCCAATCTAGCCATGAGAAAAGTATGAGACAAACCCAAATTGAGGGACATTTTACAAAATAACTGGCCAGTATCTCTCAAAACTGTCAAGGTCATCACAAATAGAAAACATGTGACCAACTGCCAAACAACCATGCCTAAAGAGACATGACAACTAAAAGTAACATGGTATCCTAGGACAAAAGGCTGAGGAGCACATGTTCAGGTTCGAAAGTATAAGTAAGACTCTACCAACAGGTGAGGATGTTGAAATTTTGCTAAAAACAGAATATAAACTAAAGTATAAATATCAATGAGCTCATATTGACAAAAATAAATAAATAAAAGAGAGTAAGGCTGGGCCCACTTGCTCACATCTGTACTCCCAGCTACTCAGGAGGCATAGCTAGGAGTATCACAATTGGAGGCTGGCCCTGGGAAAAAAACGTGAGACCCTACCTGAAAAAAATAACTAAAGCAAAAAAGGCTCAAGTAGTAGAATGTTTGCCTAGCAAGTGTGAAATCCTGAGCGAGAAGAGAAGAATAAGAATAGGACAAATCTCCCACAGAATAACAAATAATTGGCACTTAATTCCACTTAATGACTTGCCCCCCCCAAAAAAGGACACTAGGGAAACACCAGAGCCAAGCAAAGAAAGTGTGGCATTCAGTTCTCAGTGGTGTGCCAATGTTGGTTCCTCAGCAGAGGCAAAAGCACCAGTCCTGTGAGATGGTTACAGGGTGAACAAGGGAGCAAGGTGTCCAAGAACTTTCTGTGCATCTCTGTAACCTTCCTACATCTATTTTAAAACAAAAAGTTTATGTTTAAATTAGCAAGCTATCAGATGGACTTCAGAGAAATTAAAGAAACCCTAACCTAACAGCACATCCTAGGTGATGAATAAACGACAGAATGCTCCACTCAGAGGTAATTCCTGGAACTACAGAACCTGCATTTTGAGGAGACAAACATGAAGGTTTTCTAACAGCTGCCTCTCACCCATATCATGACCTATACACATCAGGAACAAAACTCAACCCAAAAAGCCAAGAGACAATGAAGCCAAAGTCAAGCTAACAAGGAAAGCACTAAGAACAAAAGAGCAGCAAATACTAGAATTTCTGAAATCGGGAAGATATAACATACAAATTAATTAGTGTGATTAAATTGTAAACCATGATCTATTCAGGGGTTTTCAAGTCAATGGGGGTTGGATGGAAAATTGGAGGCTTTCAGAATTCATACCACACTTAACAAAATTCAAACTCCTTACCATGCCCTCTAAGGTCCTACCTTACCTTACTGTCCTACAAGTCAATCCTGGCTTTCCCCAATTTCCCAGATTGTGGCTGGCACCTCAAACCTGAGGTGCTTGTGCTGGCTGCCCCCTCTGCCTAAAGTGCTCTATCTCTGTGTGCTGTGTGGCTGCTCCTACTTCCTTCAGATTTCTTAAGAGGAGGCTCTCCTGCCCAAGCCACCTTCCTCATTATTGTCTACCACAAGAATCTAATCCTTGACAGCTCTTATCAATGACTGGCCTACTACACAACAGAGGTCTCCTTCTGTGTGCTATGTCCAGCGCCCCACAGACAGCTGGACCTCCAGATGTCTGTGAATGAGGAGGGTGTAAGCACACCATCGTAGAAGTGAGGCTGATGTGTGAGGGGCATTCCCAACAGCTTTTGTGTCTCTTTATTATAAAACAAAGTCAGATTCATTGTTAGAGAAATAAGGACACCACAAAGGCCAGAGAGAGGCATGTCACAGAGACTATTAAATACCTAAGCACAGACATGACTATGACCTCAGCAAACATCCAGAGGGGGCGGGGCAGAGAGGTGTGCAGGTGTTCACTCCCACCATGTCTTCCTTACCTCTGTTCTTGAGAAGGCTCCTCCACATCCTCTTCAGAATCACCCTATTGAAAAAAGAACATGCTTTAACACCTGCTTCACAAGAACACAAGTCACCAAAAACAAGCAGCTCTGTTAGCTCTCCCGGGGATGGAGTTGAAGGAAATGTCTGCAGGAAAGACTGGAACACTGTTCGATACTTATTGAAAGAACAAGGACAAGAATAAAAAGTCCTAAGTTGCCAAATGGTCCCTTAGACATTCACTGTCAGTAAAAATTCTATCAGTTTAAAATCACAGCCTAAACATAATCTCAAAATGAGTTAGACATCGCTTCTCTTCAAAAACCGTTTTTTAACATTTTAATCACATATGAAAAAGCTGGATGCTAATTAAAATCCCAAGCATAGTAAACATTCTGTTTAGCTCAGAATCCACTTAACAAATACCTGATACATTTTGACATCAAGGTAAAAAGGCTACTAATTTTGTAAATTACATAAACACCACACTCAAAACCTCTCCCGAATTCTGCCAGGCTCACCAGGCAGAAATCCTTGTAACATAGGTCAGAATAAAAAGGAAGGGTAAGTGGGACAACTAAACTCACTGTGCTCTACTGAGCCCATAAGCTCTGGCCACATTACTGTTTCTCCAAGTCCCCACTGCTGGCTTCAGAAAGCCTGATCTTCTGGTTCTACCAGCTTCTCCCTAGCCATCCTCCTGGTACTTCTGCCTCTCTGGACCCCTCCTCTTGCCACAACAGCCTCCTGACCAGGCTCTTCTGCACTACCCCTCAGCATATAACCCATCTTGTCAGCCTGACCCTGAGTCTCCATCTCCTGCCAACCTCCCACTCCATTACACCTCAGATATTCATCAACGCCCATCCTTCCCCAACACCAAGCCCAGCGACCAGCACATATCTCATAGGGTGGACTGCTTACAACTCACAGTTCTGTTCCCAAATGCTCCAGGACATATGAACTGCTAACAGCTATCAATGTCGGGGTCCCAGCTGATTAGCTTCAGAGTGAACCAGCCCCCTTTCTGCTACTGCTTGATTCCCTGACAAACCTTAGGCTCACCTTGTCCTGCTCTCCCCCCTTCACCAACAGTTGAGAACTGTCCTTTCTCCTTCAACCCTTCTTCCAGCAAGTTCACCTATACCATCAGCCTGGATCACCATTGCTGCCCCCTCCCATCCAGAGCATCACTTTGGAACCCCCCAAATCAATCACTATTTACTGCCTGCATGGCAGAGACCCAGCACTCAAAGTTACTGTACTAATTTTACTCAAGAATCCAAAATAAGTCAGATGTGGCAGTGTACACCTATAATCTTCACACTCAGGAGGCAAAGCCAAGACGACTGTCTCCCAAGTAAGAAAGAAAGAAAGAAAAAGAAAAAGAACCTACAGAAGCTCCCCTACTGCTAGACAGATACACTCCAATACCAGCCCTAACATACCCATCCTCTCCCTCTACAACCACCCAACAGCCGTCTCTGGCTCCAATTTAAAATGTCAGTGTGAAAACTGAACCACATTGTCTCCCATGTGAGGCTCTAGGCTGGGCCCCTGCACATATTTGTTACTACAGCTGTCTTAGGAACCTCTCTAACCTGAAGCCTTAAGCAAACCTTCCAATATACACCGGCCTCTTCTCTCAGTTCCTACATTTCAGCCATTTGAATGTTGCCTCGAGGTATTACCAGTCTCATCAAGACCACCAAGATTTCATGTGGCAAGGACCAACTCCATCTCTTTTTTCCTTTTATTTCTTTTATTCATATGTGCATATAATGTTTGAGTTATTACTCTCCCCTTCTCCCCACCCCCTCTCTTTCCCCCGCCCCCTCCCTCTGCCCCTTAATACACACTTTTTTTAGAAGTGGGAATGGTACTAGGGTTTGAACTCAGGACCTCACACTTACAAGGTAGGTTCTCTACCATTTGAGCCACTCCGCCAGCCCCCCAACTCCCTCTTGACAGTGTCTCTGGGCCCTTGCACAGGCTGTTCCAATTGCCTCACTGCTTTCAACAGCTGGCTCTAACATGGCCTTCTCAAAGTGTCCTACTTGGACCTCTTAAATTAAAACTGAAACTCTCATTACCACCCTATACTGCTACCATATAACACTGATGCCCTTCAAACAGCCCACTTAACTTAGAATTAATTCTGTGTCTTGTTTAGTATTCCTATGCCTCTATTTAGACTGCAAGGTCAGAGGGGCAGGTGTCTTGTTGACTGTATCATTCCCTGCACCAGAAATGGTGCTTGGCCCTCTAAGGGTGAGTATCACCCAGCTGTCTCTTAAATTCTAGTGGATATGACTAGCTTTGAAAACTTCATTAAGCTACTTTTTCTAAATCAAAACAAAACATGAAATTATTTCCCTTCAACACAGGAACTTTTATCACTACATCACTGCTTTTCTGGTCAGACAATATTGAAACTTACACAATAACTAATGTTCTGGCCCAAAGCTCAGACTCCAGAGCTAAACACTTCCTGGGTTCAAATCTCACCTCTGCCACTTTATTACCTCAGGAGAGTCATTCATTGCTCTATGCCTCAGTTTCCTGAGCTGCAAAATCAGGTAATACTACTTCATAGTTTTTAGTGTATGTATACAACTTAACACTCATGGCAGTGTTTAAATTATGACAGCGAGGACGCGACCCATGTTAGTTATAATGTGTCAATGTTGGTTAGCGCAAGGAGATTAAGCCAAAAACAGATCTCTATGACAAAAAGATTTCCAAGTACCAGTCAATGATGCACTGATTAGAGTAGCATGCTATTACATAAACAGTACCTGAGATAATAAAAAGAGCCCAGATATTCACTGTACCATTTCCTGTTTCACTTTCGACCAATTTCCGTTAAGTATACCTTCAGACATAAGAGGGGAAAATCAATGAGACATGGTATGTTTAAAGGCAAAGATTTTCTTACTCATGCCTAGCTGGCTCCTAGCTGAGGTTTGACTGGGCCAGGCCAATGCTGGGTGTCTGCTGGATGAACCATCAGGCCAAGTAAAGTGCTGATCTCTGCCAGCTAGGCCCAGCATGACCTGTCCCCAGCAGGCTTCTGTGTCAGGCGCTGCAAGCACTGCTCTTGCATCCCAAATCAGCAAGAGGGGCTACAGGAGTAACTCTTCTCAAACTGGACAAACAGATTCTAGGTTGCACTTGCTTCGGGAACTGATCCCAAAAATGTGGTTTTCAAATAATTCACAGGAAATCAACACTTAAGCATTTTACCTGCCACCTTCAGAACTGTCTGGCTCATAACTAGGGGAGAGGGGAACTAGGAAGGCCTCAAGGGCTAACACTGAATGACTACTATATGTGGAATACTGTGGCCTCAACAGGGTCCCCAAGCCTCAGCAGCCCCAGACGGGGAGCCCAGCTGGGGCAACAAGACACATGCAAAACAAAGTCCAGACCCTCAAGATACTGCATGAAGCTCAGAGAAGGACAACGGATGACAATGCCACTACAGGCCAGAGTCAGGAAAATGGGCCCTGAGCCACCAGGGCTGGCAGCAGATGACTTGCTGGGATCACCTGGCCAAGGGTCAGGCTGAGAGTCCCAAAGGATTGATGAGAGCAGAAAGCAAGGTCCTATATGGTGGAACTGCAGGTTACCTTTGGATCTAGGGGACAGAGCCCTGTGTGAATGCCCAGGCATTCAGAGACACTTTCTGACTTTGACAGAGAAGTAAGAAGGTGCACAAAGCTGCACCTTGCACACGCGCAGTTACCTCTGACTGACAAGCTAACAGAAAGCCTCGCTCACTTTCTGCCAACTCCACTTCGGAGTCAGTGAATTGAAGGAGAATCAGAGAGGAAGAATTTGGTAAATCTAAGAATAAAATTAGTTTTTCCCTTCCTTATCAACCCCAATAAAACAGGGTTTTTTTGGTTTTTGGTGGAACTAGAGTTTGAACTCAAGGCTCTGCACTGGTATAATACCACGCCCCAGCCCTTTTGCTTTAGTTTATTTTTCAAGTAGGGCCTCGAGTTTTTGCCCAGGCTTGGACTTCAATCCTCCTACTTAAAGCCTTCCAAGTAGCTGGGATTATAGACGTGAACCACAGTGCCCAGCCTGTTTTGGAGATACTGTCTCTCTGATTTTTTGCTCAGGATGGCCTAGAACTTTAATCTTCCTGTCTCTGCCTCCCAAATAGCTGAGATTACAGGCATGACCTGCTACACATGACCCTGTAGTGACAGTTTTTATGTCACTACACCAAAAGATTTTATAACAGAAGACTACATAACAAAAAGATATAAGTAGGAATGGGGGTGTAACTCAGTGGTAGAGCACTTCCAGAGTGCACAGGTCCCTGGGTTTCATTTCTAGCTCCACAAAAAAAGACCAATATAAGTAGTCTATCTAATCATGGAGCACATGGTACTGAGTTACTGTACTGGTTCAGCCCCTTCAAAGGAAGAAAGCTGTTATATTCCCTAATGACCAAGTCTGTGGATAGCCTGAGACACCAGCAAAATGCTAAGCAGGTGCTGAGTTCAAGGTACTTAATCCCCATGAACTCCTCTAAAATCAGCAGCATCATTACCCCCACTTAGTGTGTGTAAGACTCCCGATTCAACCCAACACACACACACACACACACACACACACACACACACACACACAGTGAATTAGCAGCCTGGGTTAGAGCCAGGACTCGGCAGGATTCATACCCAGAACACCTGGTCAGAAACAGACATCTGGCAATTTATAACAATTGTTATATATGGCTGCATTAATCATGAGTTATTCAAGTCCTTAATCACATTAGAGACCCATTAGAAAACAAACAAAAATCAACAGGAAACACTTACAAAGTAATTGTACATAGTGTTGGCGTTCCTGTTTCATCTACAGCTTCCAGTCCTAAAGCTATCTTTTAGTCTTTCTGAATGAAAGATACCCAACCTAGTGGTTAATTAGGCAAAAACCTCAACTTTGGTAAATATCGCAAAGTACCCCAACTACAATAATAATAACAATAACAAAAAGATTTAAAAGATTAACCAGACTCTTCAACAAAATTAGAGATAAGGGCAAAATAGTTTCTGCCTGGTAGCAAGAGGTTGGGGGGTAAGGGAGGGGACAAGGGGAAGGGTGGAGAAATGACCCAAACATTGTATGCACATATGGAAAAAAAAAATCCAAAAAAAAAGCAGAAAACCTTCAAATTTAAATAACACCTGTAAATATTCTCTTTTCAACAGACACCTAATGACACACACAAGGAAACTTTCTGAAAAAAATTGAATACTTTGAAAAGAATTCCTTAAAAATAACTTTCTGCAGAACTCTCTGAAACTGTGAGATATACATATATCCCTTACCCCTGCCCAGACATTTGCACTATTAAGATAGTTACTAACAGGTACACATAGATAGTGATGAAGTATTTAGAAAACTACTGAATACCAGTTTCACTTTCATTATAGATTTCGTTAAAATGTTTCTCTAGTAAATATTCTAGAAAGACAGCTTCTTAATTCTGTGTTTTATCAAAACACACTGCATTTACATAAACAAAATAAAACCAGAAATTAAGCACTTTACAAAATAACCTTTAAACCTATAAATAAAACAATTAATGGTATATCATAGACCTTGGCGTGCCCATCTCTGGTCAGTGGGACTACATCTTCCACTAAGGCTGTAAGAAATGAGAGACTATAATTTACTTTCCTTCTGGGTTGGCTTCCAACATTAACCAGGTAAGAGCTGGTGAGTACAACTGAGTGAAAATGCCAAGGCTATAGACACACACCAGTACTTCTTAACCAGGGTGAATCTACTCCCCAGGAACATTAGCTAATGTTGTTTGGAAACATTCTCAATTGTTGAAACTAGGAGGGTTGTTACCAGATGCCGTGATACATGACTATAGTTCCAGCTAACTCAGAAAGTGGGGCTAAGAGGATCACGGGAGCCCAGAAATTTGAAGGCAGCCTGGCAACAGAGTGAGACCCAAACTCAAGAAAAAGCAAAAACACCAGGAGATCAGAGAGGGACAGTGACAGTGCCACTGACACCCAGAGAGTAAAGACCAGGGATGCTGTCTGACATCCCACAGTGCACAGGACAGCCTCCATCACTGAATTCTTTGACCTAAAATGTTTTCAGGCCACTGCTGCAAACTCTGATAGTCACAAATAAAACAATTTAATAGGTAAACACGTTAAGTGTTAAGTGTGGTTCTCTCAGTAGGACTGCAAACAATTTCTACTTTGTTCTTTTCTCTTTCTGTATTTTCCAAACCTTCGACAACAGGTATATATTATTTTTAATCGGGGGGGGGGGGGAGCCACTTTTAGGAGAAGAAAAGACGTTTTGCTGAAGGAGCTTCTTCTCAAAAACTCTCAGGCAGCCTGTTGCCCTTGAGGAAAGGTTGAGGAAAAATTCTCTTCTAAAGTCACCTCTCCACCTTGAAGCTGTTATTCATTAGCCCTGATCAAAATGACTATTTCAAACATCTCAAAGTCTCCTCAATGCTTCCCATTGGACGGAAAAGCGGAACTGTAAGACTGCACAGCCTCCATCCAAGGTAGAGTAGACATTCCGTTTTTAATGCTGTCACCACTTCGGAGTAATGAGCATTTAAACAACTATCACACACAAGCTTACTACTCCCTTATCATGCATCACACACACCCCTAATGTGCATTTTGGGTCCCAACTGCTGCCGGTGAAAAACAGTCAACGATATTATATTTAAACGTGCACCTCTGCAAGGCAGTGAGAATTCCTTGCACCCATGAGACTTTCAGATGAAGACAAAAGCTTTGCCGTGCCCGTTGCAGCACGAAGCCCTCTGTACTACAGATTGCCAATAAAATGTTAGTAATTATTTTTCCACATGCAATCTTTATATCATGGATGGGGAGGGGAGGGACCTGAAATTCAAGTTCTTAAGTGGGTGGATTCTAACAGGAATTAAAGGCACTTTGGAGAAAACCCAAGATTGCAATCCTTTAAAGTCACATCTTCATTCCAAAGCTATTTAAGTGCTAATGGCAAGTACCATTCACTAGCATTCAGGAAATCAATATTCCCCTTGTGTTCAGCCCTCCAGCCCCAGCTTGCAAAGAGCAGTATTCACCCAAGGGGGACGTCCCCCACTCCCACCCAGGACAGGCCAACTGCCGAGGTGGCCTGGGCTTCCACTTGTGAACTTGGGGCCGGCCTGACTTACGCCCTGTCACATGGCGCGGGAGGAGGCCAGCAGGCCACCGTTGCCAGGTGTTCGGGCTCTGGCACCGTCGTTTATTTGCTTTGCAAAGCGGCCCGCACGTCTGTGCCGCTGGAAGGGGGTGGGGAAGAATCTGTGTCCCACACACATACGCCCACACCCGCCTGTCACTTGGTCCTCCTCACCTGAGTGGGCAGCAGGAGTTCCCCTTCTTCTGCTTGCCACAGCTCCACCACGTTCGGCAAGGGCTCAATCGCTGCACCGACACCAAAAGATACACAGCGTAGTTAACGCACGGAGAAGACGCGCTTCCTGTTTCCCCCGCCGTTCCCCTCAGTGCCACCCGCCGGCCCCCAAAGCAAGTCCCCTTCCCTCCCGTAGAGCCGAGGCCCCCGCGGGGCGAATCGAACACAATGGTGGGGCGCAAGCGGCGGCCCCCGGGACGGAAGGCGCTCGGGCTTAGGGGGACGAGGGGACGAGGGGCCGCCCCCGGGCCCTGGCGGGCTCGGCAGCCCGAGCATCTGGGCCGCGCCGGGGGAACAAAGCTGCAGGAAGCCGGGCCGCGCCGGGGCACCGCGCGCCACACAAAGCGGGGGCTGCGCCGGGGCGGGGGGCCGCGCACAAAGGCTCCGAGGCGCGCGCGGCTAGCGGTCCCCGCGCCCGCGACGCCAGCCCTCGGGCGGGACGCCGAGGGGACGCTGTGGTGGTGGCAGCCCTGCAAAGCGCTTCCCCTCCTCCGCCGCCCCCTTCCCTTCCCCCTTCCCCCGCTACCCCGAGCCCTCTCACAGATTTCAACAGTCCCCTACAAGAAAGGGGGAGGAGGGACGGGGTGGAGAGGGAAAACTGACCTTGTCCCTGAGCCCCTCCCGGGCGACAGCAGGGCAGCAGGACCTGGAAGACGCCCAGCAGGAGGTTCACGGCCGCGGCGGTGCGGCAGCAGCCGCTGGGCTGCGGGCGTCGGAGCCCCGCCATGCTGGTGCTCGCCTCCTGTCGGTGCTCGCCGCGCTTGCCTCTCTCTCCTCTCTCTCTCTCTCTGTAGCTCTCTCACTCCCTTCGCTCGCTCGCTCGCTCGCTGGCGCCCGGGCCGCCGCGCCGCGCCCCGGGGCCGCCCCCGTAGCGCCCGCCCCGCCCCCGCGCCGGACGGCCACGCCCCTCGCCGGCCACGCCCCCCGCCTCGGCTGCCGCTCGGAGCGCGTGTGCGCTGCAGATAGGGGCCGGAGCGCGGCGGGGCGCGCGGGGACGTGGACAATGCGGACGCACGCGGCCCGCCGTGTAGCACGTGGCCCGCCGCGCGGCCTTTGGCTGGGTTGGGGACTCTGTCGCCTTGGAGCCGTGCCGACGGACGGCCGCCTACTTTATTTCGCCCAGGGCGTCCGCGTGGACTTCCCGCGGCTCCCCCTTTGTTTAAAGGTGCTGGCACCCGGGCGGCGGGCGGGAGAGCACCCACGGGGGAGGAGGCGGCGGGAATAAGAAGGCCCCGCCAGAGATCTTGGGCGGGATATGAGTGGAAATAATGCAGTGGTTGTCAGGAAACGCGAGCGCAGCCACATGGCTACTGCCAGTTAAGCAGCGAGGATATCCGGTGGCTGTAAAAGTCTGTAATTTAGCATAGAAAGAGCTCTCCCAACACCCAGGAGGCTGACCTCAGTGCCGCGTGGCGGCGGTGCGCCCGCCACCCTTGGTGGACGCCGTCCAGGTCGTGACAGGTGGGGAAGCCTCTTCCCAAGGGAGTTCGAGCTTCAAAGGCCCGGCAAATGACCCCGCTCCGAATCAGATTGCAGAATTCAGCAAGCCTCTTAAACGGCTGAGGTCCAGGATGTGATCGCCAGTTTCTAACATGAATAGGATAATAGAAGTAATACTTGGAAATATGGCAGCTAGCCCCATTTTTTGGTGCCTAGAATCAAAAACTAGGATCTGAGATCTTGAAAAGAGATCAGATTTAAATGATTACTACCCCGCCTGTGTCAATGATGTCACAAATAGGCACTTATTCTGGAATCGATTAATTTGGAAGTATTGGCAGTCTCAAGACTACTTGATTTGCTGATTCCAGGGTCGCTTTATGAATTTCAGAGAATATGAGCGCTACAGTAGAAAGAGGGGAAGTGATTGGGGCACATCTGTCTGCTTGCATTGATCCTCTATTTAATTGCTTCTGGTGCCTTACAGTCTAGACTGCAAAAACTGTGGTCACATAACAGGACAGATGCCGGACAAGGACAAAATGAATTACGGATGCTCTGTCCATAATACAGTACTGTGAACCCAAACTCACATCTCTGGATGTAACTCTAAACAAGATTAAATTGCCTTAATTTTTTGGCGAGAGTTTACATTTGAAATTGCCATTTACATTTTAAATGTAAATGTCCACGTGAAAAAGTCATTTTGCATTATCCAACCTCTAACTACTCTTTATTTTTTTCTCTTTTCCCTTCGGACATCTTCCTTAGCAAGAATCTCCAGTCTTATCCCAACGTGTCCTTTTCTTTTCATTTCACTTCACCAGGTTTGTGCTTGCCCCCTGGACTGCCATGTGTTAAAAGTTACCTATCCTGGTATATGTTAAGATCCTGGTTCAATCCCCAGCACTGAAAAAAAAAATTTTTAATTTAAAAATTAAAAAAAAAAGAATACTTAAATAGTTTCTATACCTTCTAAGTTTGTTTCTAAATGAAAATTCTCTCATAGGCCCATTTACTATGTTAATGTTAAGTCTTATGACTACTAAGAAAGCAAGCAAGCAAACATTGACAAGATTAATGGGTTTTAAACAGAGTTAATAAAAATCATGATATGCATATTTCTTCACTGATTTTTAAATTATTTTACCTTTTTACTAATAAAGTCCCACCCTCACAAGTATCACAGTGTCCAGGAGAACAACTCAAAAGCTAGATAACATTGCTGTGGACCATATTTAAATCTGCCCTCATTTGGTCTCCTACTGAATGTTGTCCAGGCCAGCCTGATTTTTTTCAAGTTGTGGTCTTGCAAACTTTACAAAGTGGGTAATGCTCGCTGACTGTTGCTCACAAAGCCAGAAGCATGTATCTACGGTGCCATGGGGCTGGAGAGGGATACAGGATTACACAGCTGTCTTCTTAGATAAATCTGACCTACTTAGCCTTCTCTGGAGGTATTTTTCATGCTGACTCATGAACAACAGGAAAGTTACAGCCCATTAAACAGCTTCCATGTTTTGGAGTAAACTTGTTCACCAAAGAAGACTCCTGTGTGTTGGTGCTATGTTTCTGTTCTTTCTTTCTCAATGGCAGATTCTCTCAGTGAATATTAGAGCTGAAAAAAATTATGGAACTCATTGAATAGGCCATCTGCTTCATTTTACAGAGGAAATTAAAGCCCAGGAAGGGTGAAAATATCTAAGAGCTCCTTTAAGTGACAGAGTTATAGAGAAAAACATACAGATATATACACACATATATATAAATTAATAGATAAAATGTTAACTGAAAATGATGTAAATGTGATTTAAGCTAATCTGAAAATTACATACATGACACTAAAGCAGGGAAGAGGCAGGGTAATCTCTTAGTAGAGGATCACTTTTATTGTTTTTAATTTCATTTTTTATTTCTTTTAACTCCATCAGTTTTTTTGGTAGATCCACATAAGCTAAAATTTTTTAAAAGACAGGGGTTGAACTCAGTGGTAGAGGGCTAGTCTCCCATGTATGAGGCCCTAGGTTCGATTCCCACCACTGAAAATAATAACACCCATAAATGGCTAAATCAATAATTTCTTTTTTTCTGGGACTGGGATTTTCAACTCAGGACTTTGCACTTGCAAAGCAGGCATTCTACTGTTTGTGTCATAACTCCAATCCATTTTGCTTTGGTCATTTTTTGGAGATGGGATCTCATGAACTATTTGCCCAGGCTGGCCTCAAACTGAGATCCTCCTGATCTCAGCCTCACAAACAGGGAGAATTACAGGCATGAGCCACCAGTGCCCAGCTGATATGTATTTTTAAATATGTAAGATGTTGACAGTATTTTTTACCTACTTGGTCTTGTTCTTTTTTCTTTTTTGTTTACTAATGAGTACAGATGAAAACCAAGCAAGTCTAAAAACATGAGTTACATCTCAACACATCCTACATAAAATCGACTATGAAGTGTTAAGCCCCACACACCTATCTCTTACCCAGTGAAGATTTGATATGCCAGGCCACATGGTGTTGGGAGGATTAAATGAAATAATGTATGGTGAGGATCTGGTTATTAGGTACTCAATAAATGCTAGAAATGATACCGTCATTTATTCCCATTGTGGAGGCTTGCCAAACCTTTCCTTAATGTGGTAAATTTAATACTGATGATTCAAGTACTCGAGTTGCCTATTCATTATCATAGCATTTATCACTCAGCCATGCTGGAAATGGGAATAAATAATGAAGATATACATGTAAAAGCTGTCTGCTAACTCATCTATCCACCCATTTTGGGCCTTACTCTAATAAAAACAGTAGAACCAAGCATTTCACAAAGACAGCACCACCACCATCATTGCTGGAATCCAAGCCTCAGCATTGCTTGGGAGGAAATGTCCAGAGGGGATGGGTCTTAAGGAGGCAAAAACCTAGCGATTGCTATCCTGTATTCATGAGACAAACTGCCCCCTTCACTCAAAGGGACCCTTGCTAATATAACTTTACCCCGTCTCATCTCATGAAGCCGCAAGTGGTACAGTAGGTAAGGATTCTCTTCTTTCTCAGGTTACCCTGTTGCATTTCACAATCATCCTTTTCCATGATGGAACTACCAGACAATTTGGGGAAGAGTAGCATTATGCACAGTTAAAAATAGTCACCTTTCTCTGTGTTTTTTATAAAACCCAGTTGTGGTGTTACACACCTTTAATTCCAACACATGAGAGGAAGGAGGATTGTGAGTTGAAGGCCAGTCTAGGCTACAAAGTGAGACCTTTAAAAAAATAAATAAATAAAAAAAACTTCATGAAACTGTACAATGAGTAAATTTTATTGTATATAAATTAAAATTAAGTCAACTGAATTAAAATTTTAAATTAAAACTTTTTTATAAGACAAAAAAAAGAAGGGTACCATGTGGTGTCTTCAGAATGACTTGGGTGTGATCCTGCTAAATGTTTAAATATGATTAGAGCTGGGGCTGTAGCTCAGTGGCAGAGCACTTGTCTAGCATGTGTAAAGCCCTGGATTTCATCCCCAGCACCACAAAAAGAAAATAGTCACCTTCCTAGGTTCCCTTGCACCTGGGCATGGATGTCTGGTCTAGCTCTGGCCAATGAGATATGCAGACTTCTGGATTAGCGTCAAGGAAAGCTGTTTTCCTGATGAGAAGGACTAGACTTAGCACAGATCGGTTGCTCTGTGTTCTTTCTGTTGGGACACAGATCTAATGCCAAGAATTTTGGTAGCCATCATGTAAGCTTGAAGAAGAAAGTTGCACACTGAGAACTGTGGAGTGAAAAGGCAGAAAAATTCTCGATTTGGATAGAATTATGGAATTATAGGTTAGACATAGTGTTTTATAAGCAAAAGTGACCACTTCTTACCATGGCCAAGTTTTCTGTTATTTGCAGCCAAAATAATCCCAATGGAGAAAAAGAAAAAAATTAAGTGGAACAAAAATGCAAGTAAACAACGATCATGAGCAATAACCAGTCTGAACTATATTAACAGCATGCTACATAACAAGAGACATGAATGAAACTAGTACTTTATTTTATAATACAAACAGAAGTAACTATGGTGGCATCATTCTACATCAATTAAATTAGCAAAATAACAAAAATGAGTTATGACTGGATATCTGCAGAAAACAGTGCTTATCACTTATTTTCTAGTTTATTCTCCAGAGGGCAATGCAGAAATGATAGGATGCGCGTAACCAGGACTGTCACCTTAAGGCTATGTGAATCACACTCCTGGCACGTGTGACATGCAGCTCAGGGCACCATTCAAAGAAACCACGGTCCCAGCCCTTTCACTTCATCTAATTTCTCGAATTTTAGATCTTGCATTTTTGTTCTGGCTGGGCTGGACTGGGATCCTCCTGTTCATACTTCCCAAGTAACCAGGATG